CACAGACAATAGTGTGTGGAAGGTAGGAGAGGGGCAGGATTGGGGAGGGGGGCTCAATGGGGAAAAATGGGGGGATGGCATCTGTAATACATTCAACAATAAAGATATGTTTTTAAAAAAGCTCTGGCTGGTTTGGCTCAGCAGTTGGAGCATTGGCCTGCAGTCCAGAGAACCCGGGTTCGGTTCCCACTAAGGGAACCTACTCCAGTGACTGTTTGTCCCTGGCCCCGGTTGGGTCGTGCAGGTGGCAACCACTCGATATGTCCCTTTCACGTTGATCTTTCTTTCTCTCTCTCCCTCCCACTTTATCTCAACAAAAAATAGAAAAATGTCCTCGGGTGAGGATTAAAAAAAAAAAGTTCTTCATTAAGTCTTCTCAGTGATGCAAACACAGACAGTTGAGTGGATCTTTTGTCTCCTGCCAGGACCCTGACTGACACACCAGATGACACACAGCCTGCCTGTCCTGCCCATTTGTGCTCTTCTTCACACAGGTTCCTGGGGCTGAGCTATTGTATCCATCCCATACTTCATGTTGCTTCCTTCCCCAGGCTGCCTCCCCTTCTTTGTTAGGCCTCCTCCAACCTTTCAGAACCATCTTTGCTGGTCTCAAGGCTAATAAAGACCTGGGTTTTACCTGCTCCTCTCCTCCGCCTGTACTCACAGATCATTGTTTAATCAGCAAGTAAGCCAACAACCTGTGGACATACATGTAGTGGGAGGCAGAGGAATGGCTCAGAGATGGCCGCCTTCCTTTCACAACCCCCAGGGCTCCATCCAGGAGTCCTGCTTGGAAGCCGAGACTGGCTAAGGACCACTGGAGTGGGACAGGCAGAAAAAAATGAAGGCCTGGAGTGAGAAGAGGGAGGCATTTGCTCTGCAACTGGTTCTCCCCAGACCAGTGATTTTCAGGTGTGATGCAAGAATTTTTAAAACATTCATTACTTGACTATTTAGTCAGGGGCACTGACCTCTTTTCCCTTAGATTGTAAAAAAAAACAAAAAGACAACAGCCAACACAATAACCATCCTGTGTGAATGCCCTGCCTTGAACCATAAATGGTCATATAATAGAGTAACATCTTATTGGTCACGTCACATAATAAGATTGCATCTGATTGGTTAATTCTTGCTATCAGAAATCCTTATATACAAGCATAGACAACTGATTTAAAAAAAAATTTTTTTTTAAGAGAGAGAGGAAGGGAGCAGGAGAGAGAGAGAGAGAGATACATCCATGAGAAAGAAACATCTATCTGCTGCCTCCTGCATGCCCCTTTCTGGGGAAGGAGCCTGAAACTCAGGCATGTGCCCTGAATAGGAATCCAACTGGTGACCTCTCAGTGCATAGGATGATGCTCAACCAACTGAGCCACACCCACCAGGGCTAGACACCTGCTTTTTTTTTTTTTTTCTGGTACATGCCCCTAGCGGGAACTGAACCTAGGACTCTCTGGTCCGCAGGCTGATGCTCAACCACTGAGCCAAACTGGCCAGGGCAATACCTGCTTTTTAAAAAGTCACTTTGGCCCTGGACAGTTTTTCTCAGTGGTTAGAATGTCTTAGAGCGTCGGCCCGCAGACCAATGAGTTGCGGGTTCAATTCTGGTCAAGGGCATGTACCCCAGTTGCAGTTCATCTCCAGCCCTGGTCTGGTTGTGTGGGAGGTAACCAGTTGATGTGGCTCTATCACATCAATATTTCTCTGTCTCTCTCTCTCTCTCTCCCCCTCTCCCACTCTGTCTGATGATAAATAGAAAAATATTCTCAGATGAGGAATAAAAAAAATTTTTAAAAGTCACTTTGGCCCAGCTGGTGTGGTTCAGTGGTTGAGCATCGACCCATGCACCAAGAGGTTACCGTTTCAATTCCCGGTCAGGGCACATGATGCCCAGGTTGTGGGGAGCTTGCAGGAGGCAGCCAATCAATGTTCTTTCTCATTGATGTTTCTATCTCTCTCTCCCTCTCCCTTTCTCTGTCTCTAAAATCAATAAAGAAGGAAAAAAAATGATAATAAAATTAAAAAGTAACTTTGGAAGAAAAAGGGTAGGTAATTACTATTATTTTTTTTTTGTAAATCAATCAAAATCATGCCTATTTTTGGTCAGATTGGCAAAAAATATATTTTGTGTGTGCCGTGAAATTTTATAATTAGTTTATGTGTGCCATGAGATGAAAAAGGTTGAAAATCGCTGCTCTAGACCTTTGCACTCTTCCTCCACCATCTCTTCCCTTTGGTTGGACAGCCCTGAATCACAGGATCGATATTGTCTGCAGCCCAAGGCTGAGATTTTGCAAAACCACTGTGTCCTTTGGGTTACGTGATGTCTGTGTTTGCTCAGTTTATAACCCCCTTCTACCAGAGTCTGAGGTCCCTAGAATAAAAACCCTAGAGAACAAAGTCTGAAAAGGACCTCCTGAGGGACTGCAAGTCTGAGCTGCGGGGTTTCCTGAGCAAACTCATGGAAGTTATCCCACCTTTGACTTGAGATCTTCATCTAAGGAGAGAATTTAAGGAAATCTTCTGGCACTTCTCCCTCCACCCACCCTCCCCTCCCAGATGGAACTTCCCACCCTCCCACCACAACTTCAGTCCCCAGAGCCAAAACTAAGGTGAGGTGAAGTGAAGCACTCGCCTTAGGGGCAAAATTTTAAGGGGATGCCCCCAAAAATGAATCAATCAAGATAAATACATAAACACATATTTTAATGCAATATTTTTAAAACATCAAAATGAATGCAGAAAAATCCATAATAAAAAATGGCAGGAAAAAGGAGAAACATCTGTAACAAAAATAAATTAATTAAATTTTAAAAATAAAAATAAATGGCAGATTTTAAAATAAACAGGATCAATATTGTTCCCTTTCTTCTTTGGTTGTGTCTTTTATAACAAGGAGAAAGAGTGGATCTGTCTTCCTCCAAATCTTTTCTTCCAGAGTCCCCTGAGCCCCTAACTCTAAACTGTCAGGCTTTTCTCATTTAGGCAAGATAATCACTCAGGATTCTTCTACTTCCTTACCCACCCGTAAGCCTTGTCACTACCCCCAGGCCCAACCAGGTTGGTGGTAGGGAGGGCCTGTAAGGCAGATGGCTGGGGTATTTATAACCCAGGAGATCTTGGGAAAAGTGACTAAGATGCTAAGAACATATTTATAGCTGGGTTCTGACGTAAGTGTCAGTGAGGAGGTAGGGCCAAGCCAAGTACAGCAGCAAGAGGGTAGGAAGAGCTGGAAATTGGGGGCATCTGATAGAGAGGGTAGGGGAGAGGTGGGGTCAGAAACTCCTGCAGCTACTTCTTGCTGCTTCCCTTGGACTCTGTCTCCTGACACCAACAGGTTAGCCCTCTGAAACACCACCATGGGCAAAACCCTCCACTTTGCAGTCTTATGGTCCAGACCCCAGGGGCTAGAAGGCTGTCACCAGCCAGACAGAGAGAAAGCTGGGAAGAGCACTGGACAGGGGGGGCTTGAATGTTTCAGGACCTCGGGGGAAATGCAGGGTGAACGGAAGGGTCTATAGTCTCATTGTCCCTTCTCCCCGCTCACCACCACATAGTGCCTTGAGTTTCTAGGAAAAGCCTCACAGCCATCACCAAGCTCCTTTGCCACCTGTCAGTGAGATGATGTCCAAAACCAGAGATAGCAGTAATGCGGGTCCGACAACATTCTCTGCTCTCTGGCAGCGGCGAGATGCCAGAGCAGAGGGACCGCATCTCTCCACTCCCCAGCTGCTGTCCAGTAGCACTGCACTGCCACATGGTGGACATTGCCGGTACTGAGACCCAGTCCTCAAAATACCACCTCTCTCCCACTGCTGCCAGTTCTAGTGGTCTCTCTTGACAGTCCCCACTGGCTAAATAGTAAAGAGAGGAATAAAATGAAGTGGGGGCACATTTCCAAATCACACTCATTTCTTCCCATCTTCTTGAGGAAACTGGGGCATAAGGAAAAAGGATAGCATGAGGCCTTCCCTCATAAGTTCAAAGTGGCGGGGCTTTGGCCCTCCAATTTAAAGACAGTGAAGAAGTGTGATAAGGAGGGCTGGCATTGGAACTAAGGTTGCTGCACTCTTTTGTTTTGCTCTACTCTTAAAAGTCCTTAAACCACCCATTTCTCACCCCCGTTAACAGAGATCTGGCACCACTTCTAGGATGCCCCACATTTAGGCAACTCTCAAGTCCCCTGAAAGAGAACCAGCAGCAGGCCCTCCCAAGTCCCATGCCCTCTGCCAGGCTTGATGGACTCTGCCCTGCTGTAAGATTGCATCACCCCCACCCCCCATCTCTCTGGGTTTCCCCAGACACCACAGTAACATGCCAACCCCATGTCCCTGCCCTCCTCCACATTGTGCTCCAGTCCAACTGGACTCTGGGCAGCCAGCACAGGCAGGGTCAGGGAGTGACTTCTGTGTCCCGTGGCATTGCCACCTAGGCCTGGGCAAAAGGACTCTGTTCCTTCCGCCCCACCCCCCACCCTTTCACCCCTGTACCAGACCCATTACTAGCAATAGAGACCAGAGTTCGCCTTCTTACCCAGAGACCCCAGAGAAATAACCACTGGAACTCACAGCTGCATCATGGAAACTGTTGCAGCAGTAGCCACAGAGCCAGCTAAAAAGGCTGAAGGGATGAGGGGAAACTGCCCTTCCCCACTTTGCTATATGGAGTTCCCTCCCCCAAGTCCCAGACCTTGAGGATTGACCAGGTGAAATCATCCTCTTTCTTGCATCATGCCTGTCCACGTTGCCCCCCCACCCCCATACACCTACCTCAAGCTCAGTGACCAGGGCCAGATGGTGAAACCTGAGCTCTAGGGGGTGACATCCACCCCCTGCAGGGGCTTGATGGGCAGCAGAGCTGGCCAATCTGCGGCTCAGAGGATAGCTCTGCTGGCTGACCACGAGGTGAGGGAGCCCCAGGCTGCAGGCTCTAAAGAGGCCCCAGTCAGTAGCCAGACATGAGCTGTGAGGGTCAAAGTGGCAGACTGTGTTAAACACAGCTACCCATCGGACCATCCACTTTCCACCAGGCAATAGAAGACAAGTGGCTCTACCCTTGGCTGAGGGTAGGTGTGGCACTGGTTACTGCTGCTGCTGTGCCCGCTTTGGCCTCCACAAAATCAGACTCAGCAGAAGGAGCAACTGCCATCCGAGGCTCCTGTTCCAACCCAGGGCCATTCACCAGGAACATGGGGCTCCCAGATGTCCAGCTCCAGCTGGTGCTGCTGTGGGCACTGGTGTGGGCACAGGGGGCAAGGTCAGTGTGTCCCTCCTGTGGGGGCCCCACCCTGGCACCCCAAGCAGAACGAGCTCTGGTCCTGGAGCTAGCCAAGCAGCAAATCCTGGAGGGGCTGCACCTGACCAGTCGTCCCAGAATAACTAATCCTCCAACCCGGGCAGCACTGACCAGAGCTCTCCGGAGACTACAGCAGGGAAGTGTGGCTCCGAAGAATGGGGAGGAGGTCATCAGCTTTGCTACCACCACAGGTGGGTGAGGGAGAGACAGGCAGAGAGCAGACAGGGAAAGGGAGGCAGAAAGGGAGACTGACTGAAAAGGCAGATGAAGCTGGGTGTGGGAGGAGAAGTTGGGGCAGGGACTGGGTGTGGAGGATGCTAGGCAGTCCGTTGCTTCTAAAGGTGGATGCCAGGGAGAGCAGTAGGCAGGGCTTGCAGGAGTCTCAGAGGACAGCTCCATCTCTGCTCAGTCCCTCAAGTCTTTTCTCCATCTTTCTGGCAGACTCCTCCACTTCAACCTGCAGTTCCATGCTCACCTTCCACCTGTCCACTCCTCGGTCCCACCATCTGTACCATGCGCGTCTCTGGCTGCACGTACTCCCCACCCTTCCTGGCACTCTTTACTTGAAGATCTTCCGATGGGGTCCGAGGAGAAGGCACAGAAGGTCCCGCGCCTTGCTGGCTGATCACCAAATTACAACGCCTGGCTGGCATGCCCTGACTCTGCCCTCTAGTGGCTTGAGGGGTGAGGAGTCTCGTGTTCTGAGACTCCAACTGGACTGCAGACCCCTAGAAGACAACAGCACAGCTGCCGGACGACCTCGACGGCTCCTGGATACCGAGGCAAACCAGCGGCCCTTCCTGGAGCTTAAGATCCGGCCTAATGAGCTGAGAGCAGGCCGGGCCAGGAGGAGGACCCCCACCTGTGAGCCTGAGACTCCGTTATGTTGTAGGCGAGACCATTATGTAGACTTCCAGGAACTGGGATGGCGAGACTGGATTCTGCAGCCTGAGGGGTACCAGCTAAATTACTGCAGTGGGCAGTGCCCCTCCCACCTAGCTGGCAGCCCGGGCATTGCTGCCTCCTTCCATTCTGCTGTCTTCAGCCTCCTCAAGGCCAACAACCCTTGGCCCTTGGGTACTTCCTGCTGTGTCCCTACTGCCCGAAGGCCTCTCTCTCTCCTCTACCTTAACCGTGATGGCAATGTGGTCAAGACAGATGTGCCAGATATGGTGGTGGAGGCCTGTGGCTGCAGCTAGCAAGAGGACCCGGAGGTTTAAAGTAAAGAGATAAAGTTGGGGGTTCCCAGGCAAAAGGCATCTGTGGCTGGAGGCATCAGATTCCTGATCTGCATCCCCGTCCAATGGGCCACCTGGCAGTATGACTGAGTTGACCCCTATGGGACCCAAATGGACACTTTCTTGTCCAGACTCTGGTCTATTCCAGGCTGTTTGATGTGTGAGGAGGTGGGAAAAGTTTGTCCTCTGAAGGAATCTACCCAGAAAGCATGATTTCCTACCCTAAGCCCTATGAGAAAATAACAGAAGCAAGGGAGGGAAAGAGGGAAGGAGCAGGCAGAGAAAAATGACTTAGCCTCTCCCAAGAAGAGAAAGTCCTCAAGTGAGAGAAGAAAGAAGCCAACTGAGGGTCCAGCAGGCTTGGGGTTAGAGGAAATAGGCTGGCCAGGGGTAGGACTGTTGAAGTGCTTTAAGGGAGGGTCAAGAAGGAGATGGGCAAGGGGCTGAGGAAAGGTGTTTAGGAGAGCCCCAGAAATGGGTCAGGAGAAAAGGGTGCTGAGCCTGAGAAGTTTCTTGGTTTTTCCCAGCGGGGGGCAGGACCCACTGGGAAGACAAACATTTATACTTTCCTAATAAAAATGGGGGGGAAATCAACAAGTGTGAGTCATAAAGAAGGGCTGGGATGATGGTCCAGAGCAATAGTTTTCAAGGTGTGGTCTGCGGATCCCTGGGAGGTTCCTGAGACCCTTTCAGTGGTGTCCACAGGGTCAAAACTATTTTTATAATTATACTAAGATGTTGTTTGCCTTCTTTTATTCATTATCTCAAAAGTATACAGTGTTTCCAGAGGCTGTGTGACATGTGGTTACATCATCTTTCTGACATCATTGTTAATGGGATGTGTGCTTGTGTATCCTTGTGTTACAAACTTTTTTTCAGTTTTAATTTCTAATATGGTAAATTGATATAAACCACATAAACAGAAGCTCAATAATTTTAAAGAGGGTAAAGTGGTCTTGAAACCAAATATTTGAGAATTGCTGATCTAGAGAAAGCAATGTGGGGAGAAAACAGTGTGCTCTAAAAGAACTACCCTGGCCTGGCCAGTGAGCTTCAGTGGATTGAGCAATGTCCCATGGATTGATAGATCCAGGTTCGATTCCCAGTCAGGGCATATGCTCCAGTTGTGGCCTTGATCCCCACCAGGGGATGTGCAGAAGGCAGCCGATTGATGTTTTTCTCTCACATTGATGTTTCTCTCTCTCTCTCTAAAAAAAATAATAAAATAATATTGAAAAAAAAAAAAAGAGCTACCCTGAAAGACAGGGCACATGGCTGAGACAGGAGCATGTGTATGGTCCTTTCTTCTCTAGTGACCTTTGGTCTTGCTTGACTCTTCTGGGTATAACTGGTGTCTGGTAAAAGTCATGTGGGAGAGGAGGATCAAAAGGGACTCCTTATCTGTCCCTTACAGCTACTATCTATATTTGTCTGGCCTCAGACCTCTTCTTAGTTTCACCTTTTCCCCTTGACCCTCAGATTAAACAGTTAACCTACTAACCCTGCAGGCCCAAGGAGGTGGTTCTTGGAAGCAGAGTTAGGGTGTGGGAGGTCTGTCTGAAAGGTAATAGAAAAATAAGGGACCCATTCCCCCACCATGCTTTCTCCCCTTTCTCATAAAGAAAGGTCAGAGAATAGAATAGCTGTCCCTTTCCCTGCATCTGGTCACCATGGCAACACAAATCCAAAGAGACAGGGCACTTCCCTATTAGACACTACCGCTCTGCACTAGCAGCCTCTGCCAGTCCGTTCCTTTGGACTCATACAACCCCCTCCCTGGACTCCTACCCGGACTTTGGTGAGGGGACCTGTAAAGTCTACTCCGTTAGCTTCCCCAGTCTCCTCTGCCTCCACTCCAAAGGGGTGTCATGTGCCAAAAAAGCCAGCAGAGGGAGCAGACAGCCTGGAAAAGCAGAAAGAGAACGGACAGTGCAGAGGTGCGGAGGTGGCCGCAGTCTCCAGAACTTCGAGACCAAGTAGAACAGGGGTTCCTCCGGAACAGTGCTTCACTGCCAGGGTTCCTTAGTAACTTTGTGGACACACACGTTGCACCAATTGCCTTAGCCTCTGTTCCTCTTATGCTCCATAGACCCCTCACCTTCTGCCCAAGGGTCCCAACCCAAGGCTGTCACAATCCTGTTTCCAACAAACCCCAACTCCGTCCCAACCCCTTCATATTCCATCCAAAGAGTGAGAACCCCCCCCCCAATAAACCGCAGGGTGGCGAAATGCTCAGCACCAACCATTATTTTGGACCCTACCTCCAACCTAATCTTTCTGGAATGAACCTTTTCGTTCCCCCTTTCCCGCTCCGCAATATATTTCTCAATCTGTTTTTTCTGGCTGTGGTTCAGGGCTTCTTCGTGGGCAGCCGATCCAAAAATCCATGCCGGGATTTACTGCCCACCACCAACAGCCTTTGGGGGGGGCAGCATAGGGTCCCTCAAGGGAGGGGGAGGATCCTGGGGGTCCTGGGGGTGCAATAAGCCCGGCACCCCCTCTCTTGCTTTCAGCTACCCTGCCTCATCCTACAGAACGGCAAGAGGGAGGGAAATAGGAGGGAGGTGAAGGGCGAGCGGGAAGAGCGGCGGCGCGCCAGCGGCTTGAGCGAGAAAAAGTTTTTGCATTAGGGAAAAAAAAGTTTGCGCTTCTCGCGGGTGGTCCCGGCTCGCGGCCCGGCGGGCTGGGCCGGCGGGAGGGCTGGGGGCCAGGTTAGGGGGGGTGGGGGTGGCAGAGGCTGCGCTGCCGTGGCTCCGTCCGCCCCCCCTTCCCACCGCACACCCCCCAGCCCAGACTCCAGCCCTGGACCGCGCATCCCCAGCCCAGCGCCCAGACGGAGGTGAGAAGGGGGGCAGGCGGGGGACCACCTGGGAGAGGTGGGGGAGGGGGCCTGAGGAGATGCTCTGCTTGCAAGGGACTCTGCCCAGCCAAGAGAACTGGGGCACAGAGGCGAAATTGGGGTGGGAAAACCTGGGGTGAGATATTAGAAAGTTTGGAAGATTTTTTTCATTATCTTCCTTTTTCTGTATCTCTTTTTCTTCTGACAGTCTGTGTGTCTGTCTCAGGCAACCGTGGATCTCTTTGTCTGTCTCCGCCTCTCCCATACCTTAGAAACATCTCACTTTCATGAGGTTGGGATGAAGAGGCTGGAGGGACGACTAGCTGGAGGTCTGCGTGATAGAGAGGGAACTCCAGGTGTGTCTGAGCGCCGGCAGGAAGACGTCAGTGTTTCTGAAAGGAGGGGACAGCTAAGGAGAGAACCCTAGGTGGGGTGGGTATGGGTATGTGTGAGGTGACAAAACCATTGGGGGGCGGCTGGGCTAGAACCCCTGACCTGTGTTGTGACAGATGTGCTTGCTGTGCTTGTGTTTTGGGAAAAGGAGTGTCTTTGGACAAGGAAGGGGGCTGGAGAGGCCAGTATCTAGTTTAGGCCCTAGAAAGGCTCCCCCAAGGACTGCGGACTCCTGAGTCCTAAGGGTTGTGGGTAGGGTGCTGAAGAGGAGCCCAGGAGCCCTTGTCTTGACCCTCTGACCTCAGGACCACCAAGACAGTTGGGGCCAGCGGCAAGGAGACCCCTACTGGGATTGGGCGGGACCACTAGCCATTGCCTGCCGGTGCATCCCTGTTGGCCCCCCTCCCAAACGGGAGCTGGGGACCTAGGCCCCTCCTCTGGCTCAGACCACCCTGCCTGCCCTTGCTCCCCTCTCTGAAGCCTCTTTCAGGCCCCGTGACCCCGAAACAATCTTCACTGGGCAGCTAGCTTTGGGGACAGGATTAGAGAATGGGGATCCCAAGACTGAGAAATGGAGGTTTTAGGGGGCTGGATAACTCTGTCTTCATAGGATAGGTCTATACGGTCTGTCGGGTAGAGGGAGAAGGCGGGGCGCTTTCCCGCAGGAGTTGTAAGGGCCAGAGTTAGGGTGGTTTTCCTTAGGGGGGCGGGGTCCAGACCCCCTCCCCCACTATCTCCCGGGCATCCCCGCCAGGAGGCACAGACCCCGCCCTTTACGTCATTATGGGGGTTCCCGGGGGTCTGTTGGGGTTAACCCTTGTGAAGCCAGCTGGGATACCCAGGAACCTAAGGTGTCCTGACGGTTCTCCTCCCCACACACATCTTATTTTATTTTTCCAGTCACTTTCTCTCCCTGTAGTTTCTGGATTCTTTATTTTCCACCCTAACACTAGGACCCCCACTCTCCAACAGTGCACCCCCACCGGGCGCCACTGCCAGCTTTCTAGATGCACTGAAGGGAGGAGGGAAGAATGTGTCCCGCCTCTTAACACTCCCCCCCATCACTGCGGCTCGCTCCACTGGGCTCCCGGGGCGGGCGGGGGAAGCGGAGCCGTCTGCAGCCAGAGCCTGCGGCGGCGACTTGGGTGGGCCGAGGAGGCATGGGGGCGGAGAAGGCGGGACCGGGAGAAGGGGGGCGGGGCCGACTCTAGGGAGTTGGGGAGCGGGGGTGCGACTGGGACTCTGGAAAATAGGGAGACTCACAAGATAATTCAGGGCTCCAGCCGGGGAACCCTAGATCTTGCTTTCTCCTCCTGTGCTCTCATCCACACCCCAGAAAAACTTAACTGAAGATGGAAGAGTTGGCAAAAGTTTCCTTTCACTAGTGTGAAGGGGGGTCGTGGGTGGGCCTTGGCACGCGTGGGCGAGGAGGGATGTCGCCCCATTACCATCGCTGCTGCTCTCCTGCGGCTGGGCAGTGGAGCAGAAAGATGACTGAGTAGGCACGTTTGGGGGTGTCTCTTTAGTGTTGGGGGGTCATTTGCGAGCTCCCGCCTCCTTCCCCTGGATGAGTCATAGAAGGAGGCGGGAGAAGTGTCCCCCGATCCAGCTGCCAGCCAGCTGTGCCCCCACACACACACAGTGCCAAGGTCGAGTTGGGAGGTCTTGGATGCGGGATCCGGATCTCCGCTAAGAAAGGAGGAGTTAGGAAGAGTGCAGTCCAGGCTGCGGGGCTTGGACTGGGTCGTGGGGTCCGGGTCCCGCTCCCCATTTTACCCCGCCCTCACCCTAAATCCCAGCATCCCGGGATCACCCACCACGCGGGCCGGCCCGCTCCCGGTGGTTCTCCACCCTACCCCGCCCCACCCCACCCTCAGTCCCGGAAGACCGGAAAACTCGGGGTGGAGTAAAAACTGGAGTTTGAGGAGAAAAGCGGACAGCGGCACCTTCTCCCTCACTACTCCTAAAAGATGATGACTTTTGTGTTGTTTTGTTTTGTTTTGTTGTTTTGTTTTGTTTTTCCCCCCAAAGCCTTCCCTCACAGTCTTTTCCATTCCCCTCAAACAGATCAAAAGAGTT